CGGTTCCACCGCTAAAGTGCATCCCGCACCACCCCATCATCCCCTCCTCGCGGGGGTCGCCTTCGCCACAAACGGGAGTCAACCCCAACCCGACTACGGAGCTGGGCGACCACAAGAGCCAGAAACATGGGGTGGGTTCATCCCTCGCGGAGAGTTTCAAAGTCCGAGAAACGTTACCGTCCGTCCATACGTCCATGAGTCCAACCAAACCGAAGGAAAACAACCCCCATAATGGGATAAGTATCCCGGGAGAGGAGCGTCCCAACCGATCCCCTGTCGAGATCCACCATAATTATCCACCTGCTATGGCTGAACCCAATCCAAGCAGCGAAACCGGCGAAAGGGGGGGTACTGCAAATGAAACGACTGCACGCAAGGCACATAAAAATTACCCATTTTTAGATCATTGCGATCCTAGAGCAAGCCCCAAGCCTGCTTCGCCGTTACGATTTTCGAAGATATCGGCCCCACCTACATCCGCTCGGAATGGGGAATTTATGTATTCCATATTTTCTTTTCATAGCATTTTACGGCGGTTCCAGGGGTTAGAGTGCACGAAAAGGAATGATGTGATGGCTAATATGCTTTTAGACCTCGATCCGATGTCGATGCCGTTAGTATCGGCAAAGAATGCTCATCCCTCAGAAATGGTCCTTCACACCATCAATGCTTCGAGTACCTCGACAGCAAAGGGCACCTTTCTACCGGTGGTGACCCCTCGCGAGAACCTCCACAACTTCGCCTTAGAAAGCTACCTCCGTCGCCACGGAAAGCCTCTGAAATTCCACTCGTTCGAAGATGAGCCGAAACACCGGAGAAGTCTTCAGAAAGGCAATCTTACGGCATCCATGGGTCGCCCTTCCTTTGGTAAGGAGGCAGCTGTCTATTCCATCCCCTTATTGGAGGAGAACGTGCACCAGCCAGCTTCGGGGGCAGGCTCTACGGCGAAGAAGAGCTCCGAAAAGACGGTTCCTTCATTGATGATGCCCTTGGAAGGGGTGAAAGGGGAACTCCAGCCCGTTTCTTTAGGTTTGACGCACAGCAACAGCTCCCCCCCGGATGGCTCCACGGTGCTTAGCGTGGGCAGCGATTCCAACAACATATGCGAGAAGTCGGTGGTATTCGATGTGAATGAGAGAGGGAATCCAGTGTCGAAGAAGCAGACCACCCCTCACCGCAGCCCTTTTGAAGTTGGCTTCACACCTACTAAGATGTGTAGTAGTAACACGCCCCGGGAAGCATTTCATCCACTTCAGCTTCATCTCACAGGGGTGTCCAATTCTCTCAAATAGCCTCGTGGGAGCGATGCGAACGGTCTTCCCCGGTGATCATCCCAGGAAGCTCAATTTCGACGATGCATCCTATCCTAGAAGGGTCATCGCAATATCGACAAGGTGGTGAAGTGTATGTTATAGTAAGAGGCTAGGTAAAAAAAAACTCCGAATGGATATGTTGAGGACGAAAATGGTATTACAGAACTCAAGTGTGGTCTTTGAAGTATAAAAAAAAAAACAATGAGGCTCGAAGATGTGTCCATCGATAGACCCCTTTGTCCGCGTCGTTTTTGCTCAATTTAATGTCTTTCCTCTACGTATTAACCTCTATGCGCACAGGGTTTCCTGGAATACGCTTGCCTTCAGTGCTAGACGTAGTCGAGGCCTTAAATCAATACACAAGACACTGTGGGAGGAAGTGCTTCAGGTGCTGCAATACTTTCCCTGTAGTGCGATGTCGGTTATGATTTTGGAATTTAGATTGTTTTCAGTAAATCTCTATGCTTATTTTTCCAAGTCCTAGATTGTTTCCCTGCCTCCCCCCTCCCCCCACCTCCCCTCGAACGACACCATCAATCATTCTATTTTCGATTAGTTATGTGGCATGCTATTTTATGGAGGAAAATATGCATAGGAAGAGTGTCATGCAAACTATGCAGTGTTGCATTCTTTATATACTATTCTCAACGCACCCATCGTTTTTTTCGACTTCAATGTCAATTTTTTTGTATTTTTTTCCTATATATCCTTGCTGGATTATGCAAAAATTTCTTTACTTTTAGTTGGGTCGTGTTTTTATTGATACTCAAACTTTCCTTTGTATCTGATAGGGAGGAAATCGGGTTCATTGGAGCTTCGGTATTCTTATCGCTTCTTGAGCATAAGTATACCACTCACAAACGTGTATTTCGAAGGGGTGAGTTTGTAAAGCGTAACTTCTTGTGATTAGTTCATTGTTTGCGCCGGATCAACCGAATGGTTTCAGTTGATTCAGATTTTTTTTATTATTATTCATATTTTCTGTCTACTTTTTGCATAAACCTCGAGAAGTTATTCTTGTCTTTTTTATTATGCTTCTCCTTTTGTCCCTTTTAATGTCCAAGGATCTAGGGTCAGAAGAGAAACTATGTAGTAAATTTATTGTAATGTGATAAAATCAGAAGTGAACATGACCTCAAGCTTATGTTCACCAGAGTGCGTATATCATTAAAAAAAAAAAAACGATTCTCCCTACATTTTTTAGAAGTATTCTGTTCACCTTTTCTATGTGTTCGTTCTAGTATCCAGAAGTAACTAAAATGTAATAGTCATAGTGGCTGAATTTGGACAAGAAGTTCAAATTTTAAAAAATGCTGAAAGTGGTCACGAATAGGAGAAATGCTCACAGTATATTCAATCCATCTCTTTTTTTTAGCTCTGCATATCTCTGCTTTAATACAATTTTTTGTATGTTGCTAGAAGAAAAACCGACCCCCTTTTGGTCAAGCACTAAAAAGCGTTATTTTTAAGATTTGTGGAATTATAGTACTAATACATTTAAAAAGTGGAAGTCGATATAGTTTCCATTATCGAGGGCATTTATCCCCTCATACAATATATATTCGTACCTTGAAATAGTTATAAAGCTTAATTGATCCTTTACATATATAATTAAGTAAATACAATTACTTCGTTTTGTGCAAAAGAAAAACTGGAACGTTGTTGTCTTGCTTCCTCAATCAAAACAATATATAACTAAAATCTAACCCAATACCAAGCCTAATGGAGGCGAATATCTGTGATGCGAAAACTGGATCGCTTGACGAGAAACAAAATACTTCCAGTGATCACAATGATCAAATATCCGAAGAAATCAGCCTAAGTCAAGACAACTGCAGTTCAGAGCATATGGATGTTCTGCTTGGCAAGTTCAACTCGCTCGTTCTTTCCAGTGAGGAGTATCAAAAATATGCAAAGAGTGAGCAAGGATACATGCGGACTTTGCAGAAAGCTCTTGATACCGTTGACATCAAAATTAACGGCAGCCGACCTTGGGATGTTAAGGTACACCATCCGCTGCTTTATCGTCGTGTGCTTCGCAAAGGGAGCCTCGGTCTTGGCGAAGCTTACATGGATGGCTGGTGGGATACGAACGACTTCTACTCTTTGCATTTGTTCTTTAAGAAAATTCTTGAAGGTAATCTTGAGTATTACTTCCCAAATAGTGCTAAGGACTTTTGTAACGTGCTCAAGGCCAGACTTTATAACTTCCAGACCAAAAAAAAGAGCAAGCGTGTCGGTATTCAGCATTATGACTTGGGAAGCAAATTTTTCGAAGAGATGTTAGGGAAAAGCATGCAGTACAGCTGCGCATATTGGGTGAAACATGATGCGAATGGCAATCCATGCCGTGTTGAAACTCTCGACGAAGCGCAGGAAGTAAAGCTGAAAATGATTGGAGATAAGCTGAAGTTGAAAAAAGGGATGGAGGTGCTTGACGTGGGGTGTGGTTGGGGCACTTTGGCAAAATTCCTCAGTGAGCGATACGACGTAAAGGTGGTTGGCATCACCATCTCACAACAGCAGTACGAATTCGCGTCCGAGTACACCAAGGACGATCCCAATGTTACGATACTGGTGCAAGACTACCGCGATGTGAACTTTACGAGGAAATTCAACCGCATCGTATCGGTTGGTATGTTTGAGCATGTTGGGTATAAAAACTACTCCACCTTTTTCAAGTGCATGCGACGTCTCCTGAAGAACGATGACCCCGATGCGCGTTTGCTGCTGCACACCATAGGTGGGAAGATCACCAAGTGCACCGCCGATCAGTGGTATCTCAAGTATATATTTCCAGGCGGCTGCTTACCGAGCATTATGAATATCGGCAAAAGCAGCGAGAGGAAATTTGTTATCGAGGATATCCACAACTTTGGGTTTTTCTACGGCCCCACGCTAATGGCCTGGCGGGAACACTTGTTGAACATGTGGAGGCGTGATGTGCAATCTCGGCTGAATGAAAAAACGGAGGGCTTCTTCCGAATGTTTTACTACTATTTAAGCAGCAGTGCCGGCGCGTTTCTGTCGCGAGACTTACAGCTATGGCAAATCGTGTTCAGTCCGAATGGACTTCCAGAATACCCTGATATCCCACGCCCATGACATGGCTGAAGAGGTATTTTGATGTCCTAATATCACTCCAATATCTTAAGTATATCTAATCTTTCAAATATATATATATATATACATGAGGATACAATAACTGCTTGATTATAATTTTCCATAAATGTTTGCTTTTGTTGCTATCTTTTGGAATCACCTTTGTTGAAACTTGAAACATCATTATCTTTTACTATAGAAAAGTTAAAATGAGAAATTGAATTTTTCTTCTGCTTTTACGTAAAACGTATATATATATATGCACATTTATTGCAAATTTATCTGATTGGCGTATTAGCTTTTGTAAACATATTCGGACCCATATAAAACTCAACTACGACAGCTGCACGGGGGTCTGCCATAGTGTTTAAATCGTTAGCTGCGAACACCCTTAGTCAACTTTTTCCTTTTGCAGTGGATTATGTCTACATATTTAAGAGATTTATTAGAAGTTGATGTATATGTTGCATGTTTCTGTATTTTCGTATTGGCTGTTTTTGATTAGAATATTAAAATTGAAAAACAAAAAAAGCATTCGTTCATGTAAATCGCGGAAGGATTTATTTTTTAGTGAGCGGGCACAGTTTTGACTTACCTTAAGGATATTGTTTTCCCCATGGGTATGATCTGTTTTCATAAAATATGGACCCCTTTTTAATTACTACTCCATCGCCTATTCCTTACATCATTTGTAGAAACAAACTTTCAAGCCGGCAAATCGTTCGAAGGAAAAAAAAGCTAGCAACCGGAACCACGCCCAAAATCTCATTAAATTAATCGCTCTTGGTGAAGTAAACAACAACAACAAAAAAAAAGAAAAATGGAGGAAGCCCCAGCTCAACCCCGGCGTGGTGGACGACGCCGCGGGAATCGGCGCGATGACGACGACGAGGAGGAGCAGCCGCAGCCGCAGGTGCTGCCGACCCCCCCGGAGGCCCACCCCCACGTCGGATCCCCCCCTCCA